AGCATCCTCTCTCCCACCACTTCCTCTGTGGAACCAGGGTTACCTGCTTCTGCCCCAGCCTTGCCCCATGGCCTGTGTTCCCTGGTTCTTAGTGTTCTAGACCCACCTGTTTGGGCCCTCCACTGCTCAAGGGGTAGCATTCCTGAGATCTTTCTGCACGTGAAGCAAGTGCAGAGAGTGCTGAATGACTGAGCCCAGGACAGACGCAGCTCAAGGGAATTGAGCTGTCCTGAAAGCAGCTGGCAGGACCTGAGCCATTAGCAGCCATCAACACCCCTGGGGGTGACGGGAGCATTGATTCATTTATTGCTATTAACATCTCAGTGTGAATTAACTTCTGGCTCCTCCTTAATCGGCTGGCTGGCAGAGTGAACCGGGCTCTCCAGACTGTTGAGTTTTGATAGAAGACAGTAGTCCCCTGAAAGGAAAAGCCCAGGCCGGCTTGTTTCCATCTCTCCTCCCATTCCAGATGGCCGACCTGCTTGTCCCCGTCTCAGTGAGGCTCAAAGACAAGGGTTATAGAAGAGTCTGTCCCCAGCCCGGCGGTAGTGGCGCACGTCTTTAATCCCACCACTCAGGAAGCAGAGGCAGGCGGATCTCTGTGGGTTGGAGCCCAGCCTGGTCTGCAGAGTGACTTCCAGGACAGGTTCCAAAACTACACTTAGAAACCCTGTCAATAAATATATAAATAAACAACAACAACAAAAATAAAGAGTCTGTCCCCAGAGGTGGTCTGTACTACAGTGGACATTATCTCCAGAAGAAAAATCTACATCCAGGATTCAGGTCACCAATTTCCTGTTACTCATCAGTCTCCTGGCTGGGGTTCTGAGAGGATCTATGAAAATGAGGGCTGCCTCTACCGGCCAACAGGTCTCCCATTTCAGAGCTCTGACCAGATGGAAAGAGAGAAGGGAAAGAGGAAGGGAGGAAGGAAGGGACAGAGAGAGGGGGTGAGACACAGAAGGGACGGGGAGTGGGGGGAACAGAGGAAGGAGGGGAACTGATGCTTCCGAGGCTCTTGATTCATGCTGGTCACGATGTTAACTCTTAAGTGTGCAACTCTTAGCAATTCACTTCTCCCAATCCTGATGCCATTACTCCCACTTTACAGCTAAGGAAAATATGAGCTGGAAGAAACTGAGGCTGGGAGAAATTAGTACCACACACAGCATCACCCAGCCTGTGAGACACAGGGCCAGATTTAGAACCAAGATGGGTCTGGTGCCATTGCTACCTGCCAAGTCTGGAGACAGGAAGCCAAGAGTCTGTTCAGCCCCCTTCCAAGAACAGCAGAGGAGCCAGGGGAGCCCCAACACCCACTTCTCATGTACTTTGGCAAGTGAGCTTTGTCCTGCAAGCTCTTGTCGACTCCAGGACCAGGAAAGCCAACCAAAGAAAGCGAGGCGGCAAACTGGCCAGAGAGCACCTGCTGACGGCCTGGATTCCTGCCCCTGTGCTGGGCTAGCCTAGGCTTAAGGCCCGCCTCCCGACCTCCCTTGCTTTCCCTGCGCCAAGCCCATCTCTCCCAGGGGCCCACAGCCTCAGAGCCAGATAATTCCTGCCAGGTTTATTGGGTAGGACATGATGTGACACAGAAGGATGGCACAGACTCTGAGGCTTTAAGGGTCCCTCCTGGTGTGAGGGCAAAGGACAGGAAGGTAGCCAGGGTGGCCTGAGAAGGAACAGGGCTCCTCCCAGGCAGTACTGGACCAGGTTCGAAGGCTCCAAGCCGCCTCTCCAACACTGCTCCAGCTGAGCTATCAGCAGCATGGATCACTGATCCTCCCAGCTTTCCCACCCATGCCAACCCCAATCTGGGGAAAATTGACATTTATTAAACACAACTGTGAGTAGGTCAGGGCAGTGATCTCACCCTACCGTAAGCAGGCAGTGCTGTTCGCCTCCGTCCCATTGAGGAAAGCAAGGCCCAGAAGTGCTTCCTAGCGTGCCCAGGTCCCAGTCAGTGAAGCAGAGCAAGCCCCAGTCTCCCTGGCTCTCCTTCCAATTTAGCCTGCCGCTCTCCAGGACCACAAGCCTTTAGGTGAACCTGAGCTGATTCTGGAGACCAGGGCAGAGCCTTCCTGCCCCAAGTCCTCTGACCTCTAGTGGTCTGCGCAGATACAGGAAGTGACTACCCCTAGACCAGTTTCGGAACTGCCCTGAAGTTTAAAGGATCTCATGTCAGAGCCAAGATAGCTGGGAGAAGCATGCTAAATAGAGGACACCCTGGTGTAGCAGACTCTCAGAAGCCTTGAGAAACTCCTCTACTTGCCCAGTGGAGCACAAGGCTCCCACACAAGCTCTCCTCCTTCGTTTGACCCACTGCCCCCAACATCCCAGGGTCCCCTTGACTTTTCTTTCTTTTTCTCTTTCTTTTTTTTTTTCTTTTCTTTTTTGTTTGTTTGGTTGGTTGGTTTTGGTTTTGGTTCTTCGAGATAGGATTTCTCCGCATAGCAGCTAGCTGTGGAGAACTCACTTTGTAGACCAGACTGGCCTCGAACTCACAAAGATCTACCTGCCTCTGCCTCTCGGGTGCTGGGATTAAAGGCGTGTGCCAGCACTGCCTGGCCCCTCCTTGACTTCTTCTTATCTAACAGCTAAAATCCGCACCAGTTCATGTTCCACTAAGAAGTCCTACGTCATCCTTACGTTCCAATCTCTTCCTACCACCCCAGCCATCAGAGACCTATGTCACCTGTGAGAATTCTATGTGCACAGCCATGACAAATGTCACTTCCTGAAGCAGTATTTTAAGGTGAGTTTCCCTTTGTTTCATTCCCTGCAGATAGGCGCCTGTTGGTCATACTTCATGGACTCTGTGGTTCTCTATCACCACATCCCAATCCCCTCTACTGTACCCTTGGGGTGTTCTCCAGCCCAGTCTTTCCCCCAGCTGGAGGTGGCTTTTGTACTCAGAGAGCTGGGGTAGCTATAAAGAAGGCTCTGACTTCCTGGGGTTCAGACTGTTCCTGAGAAAGATGCTGCCCCTCTCCAAGGCTGGTTAGAGATGCCAGCTCTGCCACCAGGAATCACGAGAAATCTGGGAACAGTAAGCCAAGCCAAGGAATGTCCCACCCACGGGCCACTGGAGCCACTTCCTTCCTGGAAGCTGAACAAAGCGGAGAGTGGAGATAAGGCCTCTCCAGGCATGCAAGGCTGCAGAGAGCTAGGCCTAAAGCAGGCAACCCTAGTGGAGGGGGCTGCTAGGTGACTGTTTAGGGAGCCCAGGAGAGAAGGACGGGCACCAGGTTGAGTCAAAGCCCCATCCTGCACCTCCTCCTTCTCCTCTGCCTGACTCTCCCACCCTCCCTCCATGTCCTCACAGCCTCCTCCCCCATCTCTTGTTTCTTACTCCCATAACCACCCACTCTCCTGGACCGCAGTGCATGAAGACCAGGCGTGACTCCCAATTTCCATGCCCTTATCTTGACATTCCAGGCCTTCCTGGTGGGCCCCCCAACACACCTCTCCTCCCCACAAATTCTCCAGGCCTGCACTTTCCTGCCTCCTGGCTAGTCATGGGAGTCTTGTGACTCCCTGTGACCTGTGTCCTCCCTGCTAGCTGCTATCTTACCTGGTGGAAATCCTGACTGGAAGGATCCTTCTCCAACCCCTGTACTCCACCCACCCCGAGCAACACCACCTGATCCCCAACAGGAAAACATCTCCCCAACCCCTATGCTAGAATTGACCCCCCCCCCCCCCCCCCCCCGCTACGCCCATACTCGCACATGCCTCCCACCCAGGGCTATGATGATTTGCTCTGGAAGGAAATAGCCACAGTAATAGAAGCAGACATCCTTGTCTACTGATGTCTACGAGGATGTCTACCGAAGACTTCCCCGCACGCTGGAAATGCAGTGCCCAGCCAGGGACCACATCTCCCAAGCCTCCCTGACATTAAAATGGAGCCACATGATCAGTGTCCATGTGTGGAATGTGAGCAGAGATGTCCCTTCTGGGCCAAAGCTGGCATGCCTTCATTTTCTCTTCCTGGTCTCCTAGCCAGATACCCATGGCTAGCATGGTCTTGGAAGCTACCCAATGAAGGTGGCAGACTGTCAGCGAAATGGTCTCTGAGCAGCTCCACTGCCTACCCTGGTATTTCCTTAAAGCAAAATAGGACAAGAAGTGTTCTTTTGTCCCTAAGCAATTAACTATTCTTGGGTCTGTTTGTTATACCAGTTAGCTTATCCAGACCAATACAAACGCTACCAGTTTTGGGAGTGCTAGGAACTCTGTGTGTGTGTCTGTCTGTGCCTCTGTGTATCTGTCTGTCTGTCTGTGTCTTCGTGTGCTTCTGTGTGTGTCTGTCTGTCTGTGTGTGTCTGTCTGTCTTTGTCTATGTGTGTGTGTCCACCTTGGTGCACCTATGTGGCTGCACATAAGTGTGCATGTGTGTAAGGCCAGAGGTTAACACTGAGTCCCTTCCTCGACCACCCTCCACCTTAGTTTTTGCAACAGGGTCTCTCCCTGAACTGATTCAGCTAGACTGGCCAAGGCAGCCAGCCCCAGACAGCCTCCTTTCTGCTCCCCGAAAGCTGAGATTACACCATGGCTTTTCTTATGTGGGTTCTCAGGCTTGGGTGACAAGGGCTTCACCAACAGAGCAATGGCCCAGCCCTGCAGCTAAACACTTCCACATTTCCTCTGTCAGTTCGTCCTCAGAGTATCTCTGCAGAAACCTGAGGGCAATTACAAGTTCAAGAATAACCTGAGCTGCAGAGTGAATTCAAGACCAGTCTCGGAAACAGCAAAATTCTATTCTAAAATCTGAAAGAAAAACAGGCAGGCAGGCAGAAAGACACTGCTAATGTTTAGTGGTAGACTTTTCATCCATACCAAGAAAAAAAAATAATGAAAAGTTAGGTCATTTGGCCAAAGTCACCCAGTGAATAAACCATTTTCTGATTATAACCAAGTGCAGAGTCACCTTAGCCCCTTGGCCCCTATCTGACACCCCACTCCCACCCACCCCCCATTTCCCATCCCCTCACCAAACTGTTGTGAACAGGAAGACCAAGTCAAGCAGGGCCCATAGTGGTGCACTCCTTTAATCCCAGCAGTCGGGGGGTAGAGACAGGCAGATCTCTGTGAGTTCGAGACCAGCCTGGTCTACAAAGCAAGTTCCAGGACAGGCTCCACAGATACAGGGAAATTCTGTCTCGAAAAACCAAAATGAAAAGAAAAGAAAAAGGGGGGCAAGTAGTCAGTGTTCTGGTCACACCTTCACCCCTGCAGTACAAGTGTCTGACCCACATTAAACAACTTCATTGTAATTGCCTTTCAGTTTCTTTTTTTCTGGCAGCTTCCTGGGTCCTCTTCAGGGCAGTGAACGCTTTTCATATGCCCACCATGTCACCACTGAGGTCAGGTGAGTGTGTACTTTGCTGAACTAGAAACACGGTCTGACAAGCTCAGTGACCTCCCCACTGTGGCCCTTGAAAGGCCTCTGTTCAGCCCTCGCCCCTCACCCGTCACTTCTGGCCTGGGCAGCTGAAGGTTCCCAGCAGGGCAGGGGTGAGAGAACAGAGACACACATCCATGGTCTGCAAGAGTGTGCCAGTGTTTTCCTGCCTAAGCCACGCAATCTGGTTTCCATTTCTTCAGGGAAGCGGGTGGAGCGTGACGGAAGGATGGAAGCAAAAGAATTCCTCAGGATGAGCGAATCAAGATCAGAAAACATCAAAGTTGCGAGAAAATGTGGGTGTCGTGGCCAAAGCCTGGCTTACGCTGGAAGAAGCTCAGAAACGGCCTTATTTCCTTCTAAAACCTTATGAGGGTTCGCCATCCGGTGCCTCTGCCCCAGAGCTGGGGAGGAGCCAGGGTACCCGCATTGTCATGGATCAGCGGCAGGGTCTCCACAAGGCGCTGGGTTGCAATGATGCACTTAGCTGTCTAACGGAGAAGGGCAGAAATAGTCCTGTCTTGGTCACCATTGCCTCTTCAGAGGTACACAGCTGGTACTTGCTGGATTGTCTGGAAGTGAATGTCCATCTGAACGAGCAGAAGTGAAGTTACCAGACTGTATAACAATGGCCTTGTTCGCCGGGCAGTGGTGGCACATGCCTTTATTTCCAGCATTCGGGAGGCAGAGGCAGGCTTTGTGAGTTCGAGTCCAGCCCGGTCTACAAGAGCTAGTTCCAGGACAGGCTCCAAAGCTACAGAGAAACTCGGTCTTGAAAAACCAAAAACCAAACCAAAACAAAACAATGGCCTTGTTCAATCAATCACATGAGTTTCCCAAGATGGGAAGCGTGATATCGGGTGTGTGGGCACCCATGCACACATGCAGCTCCCATCCATATACACAGGTTAGTCTAGAGAGTCTGTTTAGCCATTCTTTCTTAGCCAACAAGGAAAATGGGGGGTCCCTACTTTTTATTTTATCTGGAAACAGAGCTCACGCACACATCTTTTTCTCCCACCCCAAATCATACACACACACACACACACACACACACACCTTTTAGAAGACATGACGTGAATGAAAACCACTGTCCACAAGAGGGCATCCGAAGACTATCAGACTCACGCTCTCAGCGCCAGGATTACTACTAGTTGGCCTCAGAGAGACAAGGAGACTCGTGGTATTTTGGAGAGTATGAAATGGGGGAGTCCCTTGTGGAAACTCACCAGAAGAGAAGGACCACGGGGCTGAGAAGGAAACTGAGGCTGAGTCACAACGTGGTGTAAATGAATCACTGCTCGCTGGCAGAGCATCGCCACCTGTTCCCACCCCCGGCTCTGTGATAATATTTCATTTAGCTCCCAGGCACTTCTTAAATCTTTGTGTAGAACTCTTATTTCGTGTGTTGGAGTGTTTTTTGTTTTGTTGTTGTTGTTTGTTTTATTTTTGTTGTTGTTTGGTTGGGTTGGTTTGGTTTTTCAAGTCAGGGTTTCTATATAGTGCTGGCTGTCCTGGAGCTCACTCTGTAGACCAGGCTGGCCCTGAACTCACAGAGATCCGCCTGTCTCTGCCTCCCGAGTGCTGGGATTAAAGGCATGTACCACCGTCTGGTGTATAGGGGTGTTTTTGCTGAGTGTGCACCATATTCGTGCCTGATGCCTTCAGACATCAGAAGAGTGTGTCAGATCCCTTGAACTGGAGTTATAGAGAATTGTGAGCCGTGTGGATACTGGGAATAAAACCTGGGTCCTGTACAAGAACAAGTGTTCTTAACTGCTGATCTAATTCTCTAGCCCCTTCTCTCATTTTTTTAAAATAATTTATTTAACTTTATTTTCTGTGCATTGGTATGAAGGAATCATATCCCCTGGAACTGGAGTTACAGACAGTTGTGAACTGCCATGTGGGTGCTGGGAATTGAACCCAGGTCCTCTTAACCCACTTAGCTGCCAGTGTTCTTAACCCACTGAGCCATATCTCCAGCACCCCTTTGTCTCATTTTTCTGGGGGTCAGAATCACTATAGTCTCTACCTTACAGATACAAATTAAAAAATACTGTCTCCAAAAGTTAAAGTAACTTGCCTAGGAACACTCAGTGGTAAAGTCCAAATTCTAACTCAGAACCAACCAGGGGAGGTGACCCATGGCTGTAATTCCAGCACTTGCACTCAGGAGATGGAGGCAGAAGGGTCAGAGGTAAAGGTCAGTATCAGCTACTAGTTAGTTGAGGCCATACTGGGCTACATAAGATCCTGCCTCAGAAGAAAGAAGAATTTAAACTCAAGACCTGTCACTAGCAGTTCAAGTTTGACACAATTCATTCTGCTCCCTGGGGCTTAGACTTTCTGACATCCTATGGCCCGGCCCAGAATTCTGTGCAGTGAACCCCGCTTCCATGGTCTTCCTCTTGTGTAGTCGTGGAGGACCTGGAAGTTGATTTTCTGGGTGTGAATAACATGTTGTCCTGAAGCTGACCCCTCGCAGTTTGCAAACCATTGCTGTCACTGCTCTGATGTCTTCATAGCGAAAGCAATAAAGCAATTTCTAGCAAGGGGCCGAAAGCTCTTCTCCTCCACCCCTCACCCCCTTTGACCCAATCAGCTCATTCCTGGGAATTTATCCCAAGGAAACAATCCGAATGGAAGCCAAGCATTAATCTGCATAAATACATGCATGGAAGTCTTTCTTTAAAGGTCAAAAGCTGGGAACCAAAACAGGGAAGTGGTTTCAAAACTGGAGCTTCTACACAATGGGCAATCAAGCCTGGGAAACCACAGCTGTGGAACTGCCGGGAATGAGCCGAGTGCTTTTACTATACATCTAATGCCTGGCCCTCCTGCCTAACTAGCTATTCAGCCAACTATGCCGGTGGGGGAAGGGGGCTCTCTGCTCATGGCCAAGTTACACTCTAATCCCCAGTGCCCCAGGAAGTGGGGGAAACACTGGAAAGCAGCAGTGGTAACTACCCAATAATTCTTGACTTTGGGGGTTTCAAGGTCCTGGGTCCTGGCATTACATGGAGTTTTCCCAGGGTAGTTTTTATTATTAACGATGGTTTTCACCTTCCACACTGCTGGTTGCTGAGTAATCTAGCTGTTCATGTATGTTCATGTAAATTTTAATTAAGGTAGAGTATATAGTTATAAATATACTCTTTGTGTGTGTGTGTGTGTGTGTGTGTGTGTGTGTGTGTGTGTGTGATATACACATGTGATTGCAAATGCAAGCATGCCACACTACCAATGTGGAGATCAGAGGACAACTTTTGGGAGTCGCTTCTCCCCCCCCCACCCCCACTGTGGGTTCCGGGGAGCAAACTCGGGTTCCAGTCCACAACTTTGCCCGCCGATCCATCTTGTCGGCCCAACAGGCATTTACTAAAGGCAGCCTGAGAGCGCCAGAAACAGACTATGAACCTAGATATCTAATTGTTGACCCACCCCCTTAATGATAGCTGATAGGCAAAGACTTCAACATGGGTGCCCCCACCATGGCTTCAGTTCATGAAAATGCATAGGCTGTGGGGATAGCTCAGTCTAGAAAGCACTTACCTTCTTACCTTCTGAGCACAAGACAGCATTCCTGAAGACAATGCTTGCCCTCTGGCATCCACAACAGACACAATATGTGTTTTTTCTTTTTCTTTCTTTCTTTCTTTCTTTCTTTTTTTAAGAAAAGGATATTTATATGGGAGAATAGAACAGGTATGGCTGGCCTTTCCCAATTCACACTTGCGTTAGTTAGTTGCCTACTGCTATGTAATTAAGTCCCCCCAAAAGCTAGAGTCCTAAACGAGCACTTCAGCCATCTCAGCGACTAGGTGCCCCGGGTGACAACATAGGTGTGGCATCTGCAAGTGCAGTCACGGTGTCCCTCAGTTCCACCATGGAAAGATCCACCTCCAAGATCTCACACGCGGTCGTTGGCACGATCCAGCTCCTCGTGGGACGTGGGACGGAGGGCCTCCATTTTCTCACCACCTCCGATCTTTGGCACACTGGCCTCTCCGTGGGTGACCCTCACACGGCAGCTGGCTTGATCACAGCACATAGAGGAGAAGGCTGGGGGGGGGGTGACTAAGAGCAAGAAGAGAGTCCCAGTTTTCCAGGGTCTAATCTCGAAAAGGACATCTCTCATTTCTGCCATGTTTTATTCATTAGGAAGCAAGTCACTAGGTCCAGCCCACACTCGAGGGAGCTCACAGGAGGACGTGCGGTATGCCTACCACATGCTCTAACATTTATAGCATCGTCTCGATAACAAAAACAATATTCGCTGGAGTTACTTGTCTAATATGGAAACGTTCTAGCTCCGCCCGGAATGCCTGCACCTACTCCTCGCAAGCGTGGTCCCCTCCCTGCACCACACAGAGCATTAAAGGTCCACCGCTCACCACCCTTCACACAAAGGCCCTGCTGGATCTGTCTGTATACCTGGCTTTTCGCCAGATTAGGGGGTTGGGGCACTGAATGGGGAGCAGTGTGACATTGCAGAAGCCAAGTGTCACAGAAAAGAGGCAAGCCCAGGCTCACCTTTGAAAAGGACTCAGTGGGTCCCTTGCTCCAAGGCCATTCTTGTTGCTTTTTAGGCTGCATTTTAAATCAGCCAGCAAGTCCCAAGCAGATGTGGCCTCGGCTTTCCCCAGCCTGTCCAGGCCTTTCTTCTCCGAGCTTTCTGCATTCCAGCTCAACTCCAGCAGGCTCTCCCTTCCTCTTTGGCTCTTGGCCTCTTGTCCTCGCTCCTCTCCTTGATCTCCCTCTCCTCTCTTTAAAAATCTCTTCTGCCGGGTTCCCACGGAAGCTGCAGAACTCAGTTGGAGCACACTTCCTTGCAGACGAGGGCAGGGGTCTTCACAGACAATGACTCCTCCCCTGGAGATGTCTGATGCCAAACAGAAGATGCTTTTTTTCCCTCCTCCCTTGGTTTTTTTGGTCATTGTTGTTGTTTTGCTTTGTTTTTGTTTCCATTGTTTTGGTTTTTGTTTTTCTGCTTTTCTGAGGCGGGGTCTCACTTTGGAGCTCCAGGGGAGCTATGTAATCCAGACTGGACTTGAAGCTCATTCCCATTCATCTACCTCAGCATCCCAAGAATCCCTAGTGCAGTGCAGGGATTATATGTGGAAGTCACTACCCCAGTGGGGAGTGGGGTAGTAGTATCTAATTTTTTAATTAATTAATTTATTTTTATTATTTTTTTACTTTACATGTACGAGTGTTTTGCCTCTGTGTACAACTGTACATCACAAGAATACCAGAGGAGGGAACCTGGGTCCTTCACAACAACAAGGACTCTTAACCACTGAGCTAACTCTCAGTCCCAGAGAGTAGCATCTCTAGCCCTCAGGCAAATCTTGAAGCGAGGCAAGACTGGGAAGCACTGCCCTCCTCTCCCAGGCTCTCATCACACACCTAGGCACCATGATCTAGCTCTGTCCTGTGGGCAAAGCAAGCCCACCTTTGCAAGGCCAGTGGAGGGGAGAGAGGTCAGGCCGGGAGTAGTCAGAAAAGAATTGCCCATGCAGGGGTGAGGAGCAGGGAGTAGGTAGGGTACTCTTGACATGGGCTAAGTCCTGGGGAGGCTGGTGCCACTGTACACTGTCAGGGTACTAGTGGAGAGAGGAGGAGCCAGGACTCTTCCCCAAGTCTCTGCAGTCAGGAAACAAAGAGCCTAATGCAAGGAAGGTCCCAGGGCTCCTTCTGCACAGCGTGAGTTGCCCAGGGCAGAGCTTTACAGATGCCAGATTTAGCAAATAAAAATCCAGAAGTCCCGTGAAATTTGCATTTCAACTGTGCAACAAACACTTTTTTTAGTTGAGGGTATGTCCCCAAATAGGACACAGGTGTCCCGGGTGTTAGCTGGCAACACAGCCAAGGTTATACCAAGGCTAAAGCCTTCAGGCTTTGGTCCATGATTGCTCCAAAAGCTCCCTGGAGAAAAGAGCAAGTTCCTCAGGCTGCTGTTCCAGACAGCCCGTGCGGGGCAGAAAAATGGTAGCAGGTGTCGTGATCACAACTCAACAACTGGAAGCAACCAAATGTTACCAAAAGAGTGGATTCTTCATCCAGGACAAAAGACCACAGCTAAATGGTTTTAAACAACAGACGTTCACTGTGTTGCCGTTCTGACGATGACAAGCCCAGAATCCAACGTGCTGGCAAAACCAGTCCTCTTTTGACTTTGATCACATGGGTTGAAACTCTTTTCCAAATACGGCCACATTCATCAGCACCAGGGACGGGGTACCTTAATGTACCTTTTAAGGGATGACACAATACAAGCCATAACAAAAGGAATGACTAAATTTAAACAATACACAGACAGATGCCCATAAAAGATTTCTGGCGGCGGGGGGCGCGGGCTAAGGTGCAAAGAGTAAAACAAGCGTAACATCGTCTTTTTTCTGTGCATGGGAACATTGGTTGTTTTCCATTTTTGTTGTTGTTTAGTTTTTTGTTTTGTTGTTTGCTTGTTTGTCTGTTTGTTTGAGACAGGGTCTCACTAGTAGTCCTGGCTGTCCTGGAACTCACTACGTTGCCTGGGCCAGCCTCGAACTCACAGAGACCTGCCTGCCTTGGCCTTCCAAGTGCTGGGACTTAAGCTGTGCACCATCAAGCCTGACCTACCACTGTCCTCTTATAATATAATATATAAAGGCTAAAAACATGGCTCGGCTGTTAAGAGTGCTTAATGTTCTTCTAGAGGATCTGAGTTCAATTCCCAGCACCAATATCAGACTGCCCACAGTTGCCTAACTCCCCTTCCAGGGGCTCCAACATACACATATACACAAATAAGATAATAAAAGCACATTTTTGTCTGTTGATTTTTGAGACAGGGTTTCTCTATGTAGCCCTGCTTTCTTGGAACTCATTCTGTAGAAGTCTGGCCTCAAACTTAGAGTTCTGCCTGCTTTGCCTCCCAAGTGCTGGAATTAAAGGCATGCACCACCACCACACGGCAAAAACTAATTTTATTATGGAAATATACACATATGATCTTTGTGTAGGATTATTACTTGGTGCCCAATTTTGGGGGCATGAATTTATGAAAAAGCCATTTGCCTGAGGCTCTTTAGCCACCGGCTAAGGCCAGAGCTGGACCTGAACCCAGCCACCTAGATTCGGGAGAAAAACTAGCGCTCCCAGCTCCCATCCACCCCAGCTTAGCTCCCATGTAAAGATGGAACATACACAGAGAATCTGGGTACTGTATGTTATTGTGTTTCTTTGAATTGTTTAACTCCCGAGGGAGGAGAAACAGCCGCCAAAAGACATTTGATTATAAATACTGCTGGATTAGTCCAACCTATTCATTTTGAAAATGCCTTGACTTCAAAATTTAAGTCAAAAGATATGTTACTTTGGAGAAAAGGTTTTGTTTTTTTTTTGCCTCCACAGGAGGTAAGAGGTTGTGGATTCATTCTGGGTTAAGAAAAATAAGGTTTGATCAAGGAAGTCCCCCTGAAAAATCCCCAGTAGAAGCAGATGGCCCGGATGATCCAGTATTTCAGAGAACCTCTGTTACAGCTTCCTCTGAGTTCTACATCCAGAACAGCCTCAAAACTTTTGGCTGAGATGATCCAACTTCAAAGAACACTTTAGTCAGGACCTGGCCATAATCCTAAATTTTCTTTGGGTCCCCATAAGATAGATTATCAATGCCCCAATCAGCAGGAACTAGCCTAGAAAGCCATGCCCACATTCCCCAAAAATGGATTACAGATGCTTGTCTTTGTTTAGAGTGTTGGTTACAAGTTGTTATTGATAATGGTCAGGAGAAAAAAAAACTAAACAAAGGAGATTATATTCAGAGTCCTTGTTTTGAAAAGAAAAAAAGGGAAGTACTGTGGGATAGTGGTCTTGTACCCTGTAAAGATTTGTCACTTGTATTGATTTACCAAAATGCTGATTGGCCAGTAGCCAGGCAGGAAGTATAGGTGAGACAGCCGGAATAGGAGAATTCTGGGAAGAGGAGAGACTCAGTCTGCAGACACCAGTCAGACTGAGGTGAAGCAAGATGAGAATGCCTCACTGAGTAAGGTACCAAACCATGTGGCCAAACCTAGATAAGAATTATTGGTTAATTTAAGTTGTGAGAGCTCATTAATAATAAGCCTGAGCTAATAGGCCAACCTATTAGTTTATAATTAATAAAAGTTTCTGTGTGTTTTGTTGGGACTGAACGGCTGCAGACCAGGCAGGACAGAAACTTCCCTCTACAATTACTTAATCATTAATCCAGTTACCAAATACGTATTTGACATACACCAGGGATACATCACAGTTAAGGTAGACCCCATCCCTGCCTTCCCAAACTCTATAACTAATCAAAGAATATGCCTCTACCCATTATTGCTAATTTCCAAGTGAGCATGGAGGGGGGAGGGGCAAGGAGGGAGAACTTTCTGCATTGCTTAACTTTTGAGCAAACATGTTCTTAATTTGTAACTTTTTAAAAAATGCTTAGCCTTTCTTTCTTTCTTTCTTTCTTTTTTTTAATCTGAAACCCAGCCCTTTGGAAGCCTCTCTGTTGTTTCCCAAGCACAGTGACTGAAGCACAGCTGCATAAGTGGTGGCAACCTCCGTGTGTGGCTGCTGGACCAGCCAGCAAGGTTCGCCATGAGTACGGATGAGTGAGAACCAGTAGGAATGCGTGTCCAATCCAATTGTTCCTGTGTTACAGTTACACTGATTAAAAGAATAAGACGCCTATGATTGTTCCTGTGTGGTCCGTTGCTTTCAGGGGACTTCAACCTTTAGTTATCCCAAAATGTGTTGGTTTTGCTTGTTGATTTGACTGCCTGCTTGCTTGTTTTGTTTTTGTTTTGTTTTTTTTCTTTAGACAGCTCTTATTGGTTGGACTGGTACTCATTATGTATCTCAGGGTACTCTCAAACTTACAGCAAGCCTCCTGCCTCAGCTTGTGGAGTGCTGGGATTACAAGTGTGCACCACCACGCCCAGCTGTCAGGTTGGTTTTATATAATCTTGCTTGACCAGCCTCCAGCACAACACTCAACAATACAGACACTCAAGGAGAGGGTGTTAAATGAACACAAGACTATTATGACAGCTTGGCGTGGTACCTATCACTCCTGTAGGCTAATGTCCTTGTTTTATAACCAGTAAAACTGAAGCCTGCAAAAGTCAGGCCACAGATAAAGTTAGTGACTGTAACACAAGAGGGTTTTAACAGTTCTCAGCCCAGGCACCTACTTTAAAAATAATTTAAATTGCCGGTGGTAGTGCCTACCTTTAATCCTGGCAAAGGCAGTTGGATCTTTGTGAGTGCCAGTCTGGTCTACAGAGTGAGTCCCCGGACAGGCAAGGTTACATAGTGAAACCCTGTCTCAAAAACCAAAAAGAAAAAAAGAATTTAAATTTAGAAATTAAATATACCTAATGGTAAGATCAGAAGATCCATCAACGATGGAGTCTAAAATCATCAAACATTTTTAAACCAGTGTTTCCTTTCAATCTGGAGACTTTGCCCACTGTGGCTAGGTACTCAGCAGAGGTTGGGTTTTGTGGGTGCTGGTTAGTCGTCCCCCCACAACACACCCTTCTCCAGTTTGTTCCAATGAACAAAGAGTCACGGGAGACACACAGGGATTCAAATGTCAGCTTTCTTTGGGGACCAGATGAACCGGAGGCCATGGCTAAAACCCAAAGCCCAAACGGGCTTCACCCCCTGCTTTGAAATCACCCACCCACTCAGCGGAGCAGCTGGACTATGGAAGTTCTCTCTGGGCAGGAGCTGGGTTGGCCTGGAGTGGAGGCCTGAAGCACGCAAATCACAGAGAGCGTGCTGCTTGAGTCGGGTCCGTCCATACAGCACCAGGGACAGACCGAGCAATGCTGCAGGCTCCGTTCCCTTTCCCAGTATCCCACACTCGGGGTCCCACCTGCTCCCACAGTGGGGAATCAGTGACTGACAGGGCACCAAGGAAATCCTCCGAAAGTTTCCTCCCCCGACCTCCAGGAATTTGTCGGTTCTGGTTGATGGGCAGATAGGGAAATGGGAGGGACGGGAGAGTTGTCTCCCTTCATACTGCCGTCAATTCACTGGGTACTTGAACAGAAACTAAAAACACCTGTGTTCCAGGAAGCCGCTAGTAAGTTTAAGGGTATTTTAATTGAAAGTGAATCCGCTGCAAAGGACAGAAAACGGAACAACCAGTAACTTAAACAACAAACGGGTATGTTTTTCTAGTCTAACAGGAAATCCAAGGGTGGGTGGTTCTGGTCGGTGTGGAGCTCCGCGGTGTCACCAGGACCTGGCTCTTCTGGCCGGCCCCACCCTAGAGAGTGGCCTTGTCGCACGTTTCTCTACCGTTCACGCCACAGCCAGGTGGACAAGGCTTAGCGATAGCCTTTCTAGCATCCTTCTGTGATAGATGTGTTTTTAACCTCATTATAACTACAGGCACGGCTTGCCCTAATGCTCTGAAACGCAGACTCTGGAACTTATTTGGAAATTTGTTTAAGCGGATTCCTTTAGATAATGAAAGAGAGCGTATCGAACAGAGAATAACCTACTACCAAGGTCGTGACGTAATAATAAAAGAAGACACTGAAAATAATTGTCCCAAATCTGCTATTTTGGTTTTTTGAGGCATGGTTTCTCTGTGTAGCCCTGGCTGTCCTGGAACTCGCTCTGTAGACAGGTTAGCCTGGAACTCACAGAAATCCACCTGCCTCTGCCTCCCAAGTGCTGGCATTAAAGATGTGCTACCACTCCCACCACCACTCCCACCCTCCCACCCCACCCCCCACACCTCCGACAAACAACAGCTTTCTTTAAAAAAAAAAAAAGACCTTTTAAAAAAAAAAGACCTAGGGATGTTGTTTCTTCATTCTCCTACCCTACCTTCAAAAGAATCACTTTCAAGGCATTAAGAACAAAACAAAGCCCAGAAATAATACAGAACTAAACTAGCCATTATACATAAGCCTAACAAAGAGAAAATGCAATCAGTTAGCTAATTACCATGACAAGTCATTAATTCAACCATTAATTTACAAACTGACAAATATCCCCGTTTTCCTTTTTCTTGTTTTCTCCTTTGTTTTACTGCAGCAAGCTTTCAGGACCTCTGGAAGAGCAGCCAGTGCTCTTAACCACTGAGCCGTCCCTGAAGCCAGCCTTGGTTTGTGATCTTTTACAGGGGACTTTTTGCTTTCTCTGGAATTGTAGAGTCTTTTCATTTTTCCAGGCATTCCACGGTCTCTAAATTCTGTCTGTTTTATATGGTAGCAGTTTATCAAGCCCAGTCTCAACACACAAATCTTTGCAGTCTGTGAAGTTATGTTGGGAGGAAAAAAAAATCCTCCCTTGTTTTCTCTCTCTTCCCTCAAATATTTACTTTCTAAAGAGAGAGAAAGAGAGAGAGAGAGAGAGAGAGAGAGAGAGAGAGACAATTGGTGGAGCTTTGCCTAACATCATGACGCCGCGGATTCCATCCCCAATACCTCCTTCACTGGGTGAGAAAATGATACTTACTGGTCAAATTCAGACGTCTTGCATTAACTACTTTGTTTGTTTGTTTGGCTGGTTGGTTGGTTGGTTTTTTGGTTTTCCGAGACAGGGTTTCTCTGTGTAACAGCCCAGACTGTCCCAGAACTCACTTTGTAGACCAGGCTAGCCTCTAATTCAGGGAGATCCTCCTGCCTGTGCCTCCTGAGTGCTGGGATTAAGGTGTGCCCACCACTGCCCCGTTCATTGGCTGCTTTTTGACTCCTCTCTCTTTTCTCTAACAAAATTTTGATTCTTTCCCTTCTTGCTTTATTTTCTATTTCAACATTTCCACTGAATTTTAGTTACACTATCCACCCAACTGACTTTTTTGCTATTTGTTCTCTTTTCACCCCACTGCTCATGTTTAATAGATACAGTATCTCGTTGAGTTCTTTCTTTTAAAGTTCCTTCCGGTCTGTGAGCCTGTTTCTGTTTCTTTAGAGATCTTATTTTCAGTTTATTTATCTTAGTCTTTCTAGTTCATATTTCAGGCTTCCCCAAATAGCTCCTCGCTTCTGGCTGTCCATTCACATTTAAGAAGGGGGCAGCACAAAGTTTCCTGGAAGCCCTGTGCACACGGATAAGAGGAGATGAATGGGAGGCTTTGTCTCCTGGCAGGCTCTTCTGTCTGCCTGGAGACTTCTAAATGCCAGCCGGCAATGGGCTTTGTTCTAGGAGCCACCTTCAAACCCAGCTGGCCTAGTCTTCCCCCAGACAATTTAATTTTCTTCCAACACGAGCCTCTAACGTGGGAGAAGGAACGAAACGCAGAGCAGTGCACACATCTGGCTGGCTGAGCGCTGTGCTCTAAAGGGTCCGGGAAGTCTGCAAGTTCCGTTACAGACTTTCAGCAAAACCAGCTCTCTGCTGTGCCCTGCCCGTCAAAGTCCTGGGCTTCTCCAGGCTCCTGCGGGAGCTCAGCTCCCCTCTTCAGCTACAAGCTCTGCCGTATGCATGTCAGCCTGCAGCCTCCACTGCCCTGCTCACTAGGCCACCCTGCTCACTAGGCCGCTATCCTCTGCCAAACCGCTTTCCCTTTCTTATTTACCATTTACTGTTAAGGCGTTTCTGAACGAAGAGGGAAAAGAATGAATTTGGATGGGAAAGTCAACTGCCTTGTAATGGAGACCAGTGGACTTGGAGGGTGCTCAGCTGTGTATTTATTTACTTAGCATGTGAAAGTATGTATGTACGTTCACATATGTGTGTGCGCTTATATGTTCCTGCCTATGTGCCAGTGCATGTAGAGACCTGTGGTCAATTTCTGGTATTTTCCTCCATCTTAGGTTTGGAGGTATTTTTTTAGGCTTATTTACTTATTATTTTTTTGTATATGAGTATGTTTTGCCTGTGTGCTTGGTGCCCACTGAGGTCAGACAAGGGCATCAGATTTCCTGGGACTGGAATTAACAGATGGTTGTGAGCTACCATGTGGGTGCTAGGAATTGAACCTAGGTCCTCTGCAAGAGCATTGAGTGCTCTTAATCACTGAGTCTACTCTCCAATCCTGAGATATATTTTTAAAGATTTTATTTATTTTATGCATATGGGCATTTTTCTTGCAAGCAAGTATGTGTACCGTGTGCATGCCTAGTGTTTGAGGAGGCCAGAAAGCGTCTCAGAGCCCCCTGGAGCTGCAGCTACCGATGCTTGTGAGCTCCTCAGTAGGTGCTGGGAACCGAGATTGGGTCTTCCAGAAGAAGAAGCAGTGGCTCTGAACCACTGAGCCATCTCTGCAGCCATCCACATTTGTCTGTTTTGTTTTGGACAGGGCTGTCTCCCTGAACCTATAGCTCGTTGATTCAGCTAGACTGGCTCTTCAGCAAGCTCCAAGGGTCCTCCCCGGTACTGTGATTACAGGCAAATGCCACATACCCAGCTTTTAGAGGTGTTGGAGATCCGAACTCAGAGCCTCAGCCTCGTGTGGCAAACTCTTTACCAACTGAGCCCTCTCCCTTGCTCCAATTGCTGCGGGTTCCTATGGATCTGAACAGGCTATGCAACCTCTCTCATCAATGATACACTTATAAAGAATTCAGAAATAGGCACAGGCATGGAAGAAATGCCTTTTTGTTACATAACACATTTCAGAGTCTGTTGATCATCCTTTAAATATGAGACTAAAATCCAGCTTGTCCTTAAATCACCCCTGCAGAACTCTAAAAACGTTATAGGATATAAATCTTGTAGAAGGCAGTCAGGACACACGCGTGGACGCAAACAGACCCGCCTGGACCTGGCTCAACCATCTACGTCCTCCGAGTGAGGCCCTGCGTCGGTACCTAACTGCTCGGAGTGCTGAAAGGACGAGATGGGCGAGGCTCCTAGTACAGCACCTGGTGATTGTGGAGCGCTCAGTAAAAACTAAGTCCTCATCCTCCCTCCTCCCCCTCCCCCTGCCTCCTCCCCACTTGATGCTAAGCTACTCGCTCTGTTTCTACCCCTGTCCTTTAGCTCTGATTCTATGCCCCCACTTCTCCACCTCTTGAATCCCTATTCAGTCACTCCTTTTTTTTTTTTTTTTAAGATTTGTTTAAATGTGTTTGGCTGTTTTGCCTGCATGTATGCCTGTGCACCACATGTAGGCGGTACCTGTGGTGGCCAGAAGAGGGCACCAGGTCCCCTGGAACCGCTGTCACAGAGAGCCATGTGTTAGCACGTAGGTGCTGGGAATAGAACCAATCCGGGCAAGAGCAAGTGCTCATAACTACTAAGCTACCTAGGTATTCATTTTCCAAGATTCAGATCATCTACATCGATGGTCTTCTCTAACCTTCAAGAAGTTTAACTTCATAGCCAGGCAGTAGTGGCGCACGCCTTTAATCCCAGTACTTGAAAGGCAGAGGCAGGTGGATCTCTGAGTTTGAAGCCAGTCTGGTCTACAAAGCAAGTTCCAGGACAGCCAGGGCTACACAGAGAAACCCTGTCTCAACCAAGAGGAAGAAGTGGGGGAGGAAAAGGAGGAAGGAGAAGAAGAGGAGGAGGAGGAAGGTTTAACTTCACTGTCCTGTGTGCCCACTTCCCACAGTGCCTACTCACACTATTGCCATGACTCCACTCTCTTTGCAATATGTAGAGTCATGCCCATGCCTGCACTTCTAGCGAGAAGGATTACTTACAATGTCCTGACCTTGTTCTGCATTTCCCAACCCCACATGTCCCATAGCCTGCGCCTATGGGCATTTTGATCTATGCTCAGAATTAATAGAATTGCAGCAATCTAAACCAAAGTATGAACAGCTTTATTCCACTGCCGCACTGAGCTCTGAGCTACGCTGCCCAGACTATGACCCACACGGACAGATCCTAACTTGTCCACAATGCAAACACTTTGTTCCTTTCTTGCAGAAGCTTCTGAGCTGTTGTCATCGTGACCTCCACCCCCACCCCTGCCACTTTGCCAAACACAAGCAAACACGTTCGCTGCCACGAGATAGAACGCTGGTTTGGCTAGGCCCCTGCCCCGCCCAGTGAGACACAGTCAGAGAAGAGAAGATCTCTGGGCCAGACACAGCTTACCTGGAACTCTGAGAACCTCCTGGGTGGGGTTGGGAGTTGGTTTTTTTTTTCACGCGCCCAAATGACAAGTCTAGCTCTGGGGCTGGGCTGGAGCAGGTTGTTTTTCTGTTTTTCTCTCAATCTCCTTGGGCAGCACATGGCAGAAGACACTTAGTGCTTTACCGGTTTCCCTCCTCCTACCTTCTCAACAACAGGTTCAGGCAAACACAGGGATAGGATCCAATCCTGAGCAGAAGTCTGTTCTGGGGCTTCAGGCAGAGCCCAAGGTCAGAGAGAATCCAGGCAGTCCACGCCGGTCTTCGTCATCTAATGAAAAAAAAAAAAATCAAAGTCCCTGTCATCAAGGAATCTCCAATCTAACAGCGGGGGCAGGGATAGCAACAGACCTAGGTCCCCAAGTGACTCTCTGTTTGTTTGTTGAGATAAGATCTCACTATGTAGCTCTGGCTCTCCTGGAACTTGCTATGTAGGCCAGGCTGGTCTCAAACTCAAGAAGATCCACCTGCCCCTCCCCAAGTGGCTCTTAAGTTCACAGGACCATCCTTGCACTCAGAAAACACCAGTGGACTGTGGAAGGAGGCTACAGGCATGCCCAGGAACGCCCAGCAGCAACCACTGCACTGGCTGCTTCCCTCACACGGAGCATGCCCGGTCTGTCTTCCCCTAGGGACATCGCCCAGGCAGTTCAGGTATCAGGAATGGCAACGTGAACATGGTACTTCCAAACTGTTTCCTTGAATTTTTCCTAACCCCAACTAGAGTCTTGCAAGGGATCTCTGTGAGTTCAAGGCCAGCCTGGTCTACATAGCAAGTTGCAGGCCAGCTGGGGCTATGTCAGGAAACCTAATTTCTCTTCTCTCCAAAGCTTGTCCCCCTCCTCCTTCCTTCTCCCTCTTCCCTGTTTTATGTCAGAAATACATTGTAGACTGCTCCAATAACTGGGTGCCTTTCTTAGAGCACAAAGGAAACCAGTAAACGAATCAATTTTTTAGAACTGAGTAAGCCTTCCTAGAATGTTCTCCAGGGAGCAGGGAGAGGAGAAAGACAAGGAGGGACACATACTGCTGACGTCCCTCCTGCTTGTGAAATAGAGCCTGTGTAGTCCTCACAGCCACCATATAAGGGTGACTCTAACGTCTCTATCTGATACACGGAAACGCCAGGCCTAGCCAGGAACCCTTGGCCAAAGCTTGTCAGGAGCGGAAGCGGTCAGGTGTCTCTACATTTGCCCAGGGAGACAGAAGTCAGAGGACAAATAACCCTGTCCCTAGTCCGCATTGCCCCTGGGCGTTTGCAGGGAAGCGATGGTGACTCAAAGGCTTGGAGAGAAGGCTCTGAGCAGAGCATCCTCCAGGGTGTGGTGACCTCTTCTTAATTCCACAGGATGTGCATGTGTTTGTATCTCCCCGTCTCCAGGGAGGTAAGGCCACCAAAGGGAATTCCCTTCGGGCCCGTTTCCTACAGCTCACTGGAGGACATTCCACAGGGAACCACTCATCCTGAGGAAGGTGCTGAGGTATCCCCAACGTGAAGGAAAGTGTGTACAGTCTCTGTGAAGGTTGGAATGGGTCAAGACACTCCAGGGGCAGCCGACATTCGGAGAGAACTTACCCTGAACTCACCAGGATGATGTTACAGAACGTGCGGTCCTGCCTCCGGTGATCCTGCACCAGCAACTGAGGCCCAAAGAAGCTTCTGCCTGTAAGCGAGTCAAGGTCAGGCTACGGGCATTTTGTGAATCTCACAGCCAGGTGTCCCACCCAGGAATGGTGCCTCAGAGACACTTTGACACCAAGAAACTCAGGTCTCTGGAGTTTGGTACCTTGGAGTAGACCCAAGGGAACTTCTGCTACTCTGTGTCCTTAGGGCAGGCAGGAGAAGACTCCAGGTCTCTCTCTGGATTAAAACCATGCCTTCTCTCTGAGGTCACTTCCACTGATCACCACTCCGTTCTCAGCTATCTGAGGCTTATGATCTTTCCAGGGTAACGAGAGTGGCTCTGCCCTGTCCAACTGGTTTTCCTTAGTACTTCTAGAAGAGAGTTCGAAGCTGCCACCATACCCTCAGAACCTCCCACGGCCTCTGTGGACCTCTGGGTCCCTGTTGGTCATTATGTCCCCAGCTCCTGATGTTCCCAGCAATCAGGGATTGTCTTAGAATGGGCGCTTGCTTCTCTGGGACATCCTCAACCGTGGTAGAGGGAGATGGGCAGACATGAAAATGTAGTAAGATCAGGAAGGGAGAGAATGGTGTCCCCTGAGTGTGCGCTCAGTCTGGTAAGAGCCATCCTGGATTGCATGACGTGAGCAGGCAGCCTGGGGAATACAATGACAGGGCTGCTTCAGACGTCCTTGCTGGTCGCTGGAAACTCTTCTTCTGGCTTGTGACTTCTTACCCTCCCCGAAGGTCTGCTGACCTAAAGCATGCCTGTGAACCTGCTTGGGGAACCAGATGCCAGAGAACAGAATGACAAAAAAATCACTCCGCTACCCCGGGGTGGACAGAAAAGGAGAAGACAGCTGGAGACCAGACTCCCTGGGTCCCTAGCAACCCTATGACTCTTGGTCCCCTTACAGTCACAGCAGGGAGGGGGCCTGGGCTTCCTGGGTGACATGGGCAGGATGGACTCTGAGGAGAAAGCACTCTTCCATGCTGGCCTGTCCCCCACAGCCGAGCCCTCCAGGGTCACTGATAACCCTCAGTATCAGGGACATGCAGGGAGCAGGGACCGGAGGTCCTACAACCCACCTACACCCGCCAGCCATTCAGCGGTCATGGGTAACTGGCACCAAGGCCCGCTGTCAGCAAACACACCTGGTGGGCTCCTAGGAGCTCCTGACTCTAAAGCTAAGGAGTATCCATACCCCTGGAGAGCTCCCCCACCCCATAGGGGAGACTCAGACCTTACTCTGCGGGGAGGGGGGGGATGGCTGTTAGGTTTACACATTCACAACCTCAGGGCTCCCCTATCGGCCCCTCCTCCAGGGAAGGGTGTGGACCTGCGTGGGAAGGGTGGAGGCTCTATGAGTAATCAGGTTACAGAGGAATGAACTTCCAAGAACTGAGTCAGAGACAGGAGGAAGAAAGGGGGATCAGATCTGGAAGCCCCTCTCACTGGCCAGACGACCCAGCGGCTGCCCCAGATCCTTCAGGTCTCAGCCCTCAGTCCTCAGTCCTGCTACTCTAAGGAAGGGTCTTTTCCAGGGCATGGGGCATGGCCCCATGAGTAACACAGACGATCCCTAGTACCAAGACTCCTGTAAATTTTAGCGGTTGGGGAGACCTTAATGGCGGTTTTTCCAGGGCCCTGTCCTCACTGCTGCATATGAGGGGCGCTTCTCCCGCTAACCTTGTGCCTCTGGCACGTGCAGTCTGAACCTACCTCCGGACTTTGCACTTGCAACTTGTCTGGCTTACCTTTAGGTTGTTTTCCCAGTAAGGCAGATGGCCACGGGAGGCAAAGTCCAGCAAGGCCCTGAGGCTCCCTCGGGCAGACTCCTGAGTGTACCCACTGAACACATGACCTCAGGACCTTGCAAAGCCAGTCACGTGCCTGGAACTCCTCCACCACCACCACCCTGATGCTGCTCCCTCTCTAAGCAGCTACACAGCCCGGGAACCCGGCCCCTCATTTGACCCTTCGCCCTGTCTGTCAGCCATACTACAGCAAAGGTCTTTTCAAAATACAGGGTCAAGGGGCCTAGTCAAATGTTCTGTTGCTTCCCACTGCTCTTGGGATGAAGCCAAAATGTCTAGTCTGGCGCACAGGGGCTAGCCCCAGGCTTCCTCCTTAGCCTCATTTCGCTGTTTGAGCGTGGACTCCACTGTTTGTTTCAGCCCCTCAAGCAGGTCATTACTGCTCCTGTCTACCTCAGAACATCTGCACAAACAGTAGCTGCCACTCTCAAGCTCCTCCACATCCCTCTTGGCTTAGCTAACACTTATTGTCTTCAGGGATTTTTGTTGATTGGTTGGTTGATTGGTTGGTTTTTGTTTATGGCAGGAACCCTCCCTGATACTCCAAAGTTCAAGATTATTCTGTCGCAGTCAAGCCTCCATCCCTAGGTTCTTCTCTCTTCTACCCTAATAAGTATCAGCTGGAAGTGGACCAAACCCCAGCGCCAGTCCTGTCCTCTGCCCTCCAGGAGACTTAGAGCCTGACCCAGAAAGTCCTCGCACCCCAGGAGGCTTGGATTTGGGGAGAGAGGTCTTAATCCAGTTAGTCGGCTCTCCCTAGTGCCAGAGACAAGACAGAGAGGGGAAGAACTAGAGGGCGGAGCCATGGTGTAAAGTCACCTGGAAAGAGAAAGCCAAAGATTATTTGGGGAGAAAGAGAGATAAGGTGGTCAGAAAACAGGAAATGATCAGCTCTGGGAGCAGAACAGTTGAGAATTAAGGCTGCGGATCAAAGCCACAGGAACCGCCGGGTTTTCTCAGAAACGGAAGACTCTGATCAAAGCCACTCTTTCCTGTCTGGGCGGGGTAGGCAATTCATTCACAGGTTCACTTAATCATCGGTATTTGAACGTATTAGAGGGTCATTCAACAAACATTGATTGAGCACCTGTCTGTGTGCCAGGCACTGTGCTATGCCCCGAGGACACAGCCATGAGTAAAAGTGTTCTGACTTCACGAGCATCAGTGTCTAGACAGTTTTCAGGCCGCCATCTGCAGCCCCGGCTGTGAGTCACAACTAGCATAAAAAAAAAAAAAAAAAAAAAAAAAAGTACAGGGATTCGAGAGTAGTGGTTCTCAACCTGTGGGTTGCAACCCCTTTGAGGTTGCATATCAGATATCATGAATATCAGATATTTACATTGCAATTCGTGACAGCAGCAGAGTTACAGTTATGAAGTAGCAACATAATAATTTTATGGTCGGAGGCCACCACCATGAGTAACTGTATTAAAGGGTTGCAGCATTGAACCACCGGACTAGAGAGTCGCTCATAGGTAAGAGCGCGTAGGACGGACCTGAGCTTGGTTCCCAGCACCTTCATAGGGCAGCTCCCAACTCCCTGCAACTAAGGGATATGATGCTCTCTTCTGGCCTCCACGGACACCTGTACTTAAATGTGCACAAACCAACACACACACAAACAGAATTTTTTAAAGAAATCTCGGTTTTGTCTTTTTAATGTGTGTGGATGTTTTTCCTGCATGTATGTTAGTGTACATGTGTCTGATGCCCTTGGAGACCAGAAGAGTACGTTGGATCCCCTAAGGCTGGAGTTACAGATGGTTGTGAGCTGCCCTGTGGGTTCTGGGGATCAAACCCAGATCCTCTGGAAGAACAGTCAGTGTTCTTAACCCCTGAGCCAGCTCTGCTGCCCTCTGACATTTTAAAGCTATCATTTCTAAAATGTCTCACCCATCACTCCCCCCCAACCCCCTCCCCAGCTGCCCTCTTGTTCCAGCAGGCCATCTCTGATACAGCCAAGATAAATTTTCAAAACGTCCATCCGATTGGGTGCTGCCCAGCTTGAAATCCCTCATGCCTCCCCACCCCTCTGAACACAAAGTTCACGGCCCATGAAGATTGGGCTAGGTGTGTGTTCTGCCCAGATGACTTAGGATGAGTGGCTGCTTCCCATCTGAGACCGGGTGCTTTCCTCCCTAAGCAGACAACTTAAACAACTCAATGTTGGGTCCATTCCATCTCAAAATCAGTATGGTTCCAGCTGGGTGTAATGGTGCGCCCCATAATCTCAGCTGCTTGAGAGGTGGGTGAGAGAATTAGAAATGCAAAGCCAGTGTCAACAACTTAGCAAGATCCATCTTAAAAATCATTTCTTTTTAAGGCCTAGGAATGTTACTAAGTGGTAGAGTGCTTTCCTAGCATGCAAAAGTCCCTGGGTCTCACCTCCTCTAAAAAGGAAGGAAAACAGGAAGGAAGGGAGGGAGGGAGGGAGGGAAGGAGGGAGGGAGGGAGGGAGGCTGGGTAATGATAGCTCAGTCAGTAAAGTGGTTGCCTTACAAGTCTGAGTTCAATACCCCAGAACCCACATTTTTAAAATAAAACAAAATTTAAAATACATGGCATGGCAATGCATATGTGTAATCTCAGCACTGAGAAGCAGGAAACACACATGGTCTTTGAGGGTCACTGGGCAGCCAGCTTAGCCTGCTCGGTGAGTTCCGGGCCAATGAGAGTTCCTGTGTCAACAACAACAACAATGGCACTTGAGGAATAACACCCGAAGTTTGTTCCCTGAACTCCACAGCCACTCCCACCCCCCACACACGTGTATGTGCACATGCATACATACACACACACACAAGGCAGAAGGTGGGGGGGGGAGAGAAAGGAGGAAGGAAGAAGGAAAAATAGAAGACAGTGGTGTGGGAAACCCTAATTCCAGCTAGCATCCTACCAAGAAACGAGTCTGACACCAAATTGGGGATCAGTGGTTTGTGCAGTAAAAGCATAGCATTAGGGGGTGGCTGCTCCTCCCGGCTTCTGCCCTTAGTGCCTGTTCCTATCCCCCTCCCCCTCCCCCACACCTCGGTCTTCTGCCTGTGAAGAGAAAAGCTATCAGATACGGAGGAAAGTACCTGGAACAGCACTTGCTAAATTCAGGCCTGCTTGACCCTGAGGAGCCACACTGAGAGCTTCCATAGCTCAGCCTGTGGAGCCTGCAGACTGGCAGGTTTTACCCTTCCCACTCCTCCCATCATCCCTTGTTTTCCTGACCAAAGTCAGCTCCTCACATGGGTCTGGCTGAGGGCCGAATTGGCCAGGTGAGTGTTGTCAATCACAGAGGTGACCACCCAAGATTCCATGACCAGAGTGGCAGGGCTGGATCTACGCTGAGGTCTGGGGACCCCAAATCCAAAACCCTTGTCACAAAACAAGCAACCCACACACACAGCACAGGCTGACAGCCTGCAGCCCATTCACTGTCCAGCCACTTCATTCTGTTGTCCCCAGGTGACCGGGTTGCATTCCTGCGGTTTGGGGTTTGCTGGAGTTGGTGGCAGTGACTGAAGTCTTGGCGCTCTCCCACTAGGGAGTGGGGAAGGGGTGGGGAGGGGGCTCTGGGGCCAAATTCCCCTACAAATGAGATTCCAGTGGTTTCCTCAGTTGAGGCGTCTGCAGAGTGGAGAACAAACAATGTGGGTTTAAGTTTCTCTGGAAAAATGAGCTGCTCTGCTGAAGATCTAAGTCGCTCTTGAGGCCTGCTGCCTCCCCTGGTGCCAAGCCAGACCCCCCCCCACCTTCCAGACACAGCAGTGAGGCAGCCCCAACTCCTCCCTCTGACACCCTCTGTGACCTCAAAAGTGTCACCACAAACAGGCTGCGGCTTTTCCTGACCAGAGAGAACTGGGAACCAGTCTCTGGGACCTCCTGGGACAGGTCTAGGCCAGCTGCATCTGCTGTTGCTAGTCAGGACTCAGGGTCAGGTTGCAGAGACCGGAAGGCATCATGACACTGGCTGTTTCTTGGAGCTCCCCAGGCTTTAGTAGCATAGTCCACTGTGACAGGTCCCAAAATGCAGAGCAGAAAGGGACAAAGAGGTAGCATTTATCCGCTGACTTCTCACCCCTAGCTCAGCACCACCTAAGATGCTAGCATGGTTTAGCTGTGTACCATAACCACAGTGCAGAGAGGTCTGAAGTCACGCTCAGAGAACAGATCTTGACACACGAGGCCACACGCTGTAGATCCCATTTCCATACAGTATCCAGAATCGGTAAAGCCACAAAGATGGGGCATGGATTAGTGGTTGTCTGGACAGAAGAGTGACTGCTTAATGGAGATAAGGCTTCCTTTTGGAGTTAAAAAAAAAAAAAAAAGGTCCAGAACTAGATAGAAATAGTGTCCGCACAATACTGTGAATGAACTAAATGTCACTCATGGAGGATATGGCCCATGCATCTACTACAATCAATGGAGACAAGAAAGTCCTTTCCCCTGGGGCCTCAGCTGTAAATGAGTCAACAGCTCTGGCCACCCTGGGGGATGAGGAGTCCAGGGGTACGAGTGAACGTGCCCCCCAGCCATGGCCCTTCTCCCTAGGTCTCACCTTGCACACATCCTGGCAACATTCCTCCCCAATCAGGCAGGAAACCAAAGGCAAACCACACCCTGCTCTCAAGGGCCAGCAGTTTGCAGAGGAGCCGCTGGAATTTGGCTTCTCTGGGATGGGCTATGCACCTTCTGGTGCAAGATGGAAACAGGAATGAGATGATAAGAAAAAAAACGAGACCACAGGCTTGGCCTCTGATTCAAGGGGCCAGCCCTCCCCCAGGCAGCTGCCTCCTGGCCCAGAATTCCGAGTCCTCAGGGAACTTTGACCATGACCCCAGCCTTCATGGTTATTGTGAAGACATTTGTCACTACAGATGGGCACAACATACTTTAACAGTGATTAAGTTTGACTCGGGACTTTTAAATATTTAAACTTGTGGTTTGGGTTAATCTTTTATTACTTTGTAACAACAACAAAAAACAATGAAAAAAGAAAACACCAACTCGGTGGCTTAAGTCAATACCCTTTTATTTTGTGTGTGAGCATGCTCATGTATGTGTACATGTGTGTGATCATGTTGATGTGTGTGCACACTTGTATGAGCATGTGTGTGTATGTGTGGACATGTGTGAAAGCGTGTTCATATGTGTGTAAGCACATGTGTCAGCATGCAGGTGGAATGACAACCTGAGGGTGTCATTCAGTTACTCGGGAGCCTTCAGTCTGTTTACTGAGACAGGTTCTCTCATTGGACTGGAGCTTGCAGGCAGGCCATGCGGGAGCCACCTGTCTCTGCTTCCTCGGGGTTGGCATTATAAATGCACACCACTATGAC